CCCCGCGCTCCCCTCCGCCCGCACCCTTCCCGCGCCGCACCCTCATGCTCTGGGCGGCCGCCCGGGGATCGCCACTTGGCGTGATATAATCAATCGAGGGCAGCCGCCGTCATGGGTGTGAGTGAGCGAGCGAGCGAGAGAGAGAGAGAGAGAGAGAGAGAGAGAGAGAGAGCGCACGCGAGCGTGTGAATGAGCGCGAGATGTCACGTCTCTCTCGCACACGAGCAGCAACGGACGCCCATCTCACCCGCACCTTCCCTTATTCCAATCCCCGCCGGGGTCAGCCCTGCTGCCCGTCCGGCCCTGCCCGGCCCTGCGGCCCGCAGATGGGGCTAATCCTGTTTGGGGCCGCCCCGCCCCGCCCCCGCGCCACCGTAACGCAGTAAGGTTAAAACACTTTGGTTAATGCTGGCGCGGCGTGGCGGGGAGTGGAGTAGCGGGGCATCCCCCCTAACGCTGGCCGAACACAGGAGAAGCCCCAGGAGTGCGGGCGGACACGAGCATAAAGGTACGGACTGCCCGCGGAGCCAGCGAGCTCTACTGTTCCGTGTAGGCCTTGCAGCTTCGCAAAGGTTGTTGAGCGCCCGACCTGGGGCGGGTCTCTCTCTCTCTCTCTCTCTCTCTCTCTCTCTCTCTCTCTCTCTCCGAGAAGCTCGTTGCGTGGGATGCTGCTGCGGGGTGGTCCATATATGCCGCCGAGGCAGGCAAACACGTGTATCATTTAATTTGTATGGGTTGGGCTTGGGGAAGAGGGCGCGCGAGAGAGTAAAAGTTTTTGAAAAGGATAAAACGCCCGTAAATTCTCCGCCCGCCCGCCCCTCCCTTCTTCTCTTCCGCCTCCCCCGCTGTGTGACAAGGCGTGAATGCGACGCTAAGTAGTGGAGAGAGATTTGGGGCCCCCGGCCGCGCGCCCGGGCGACTGGGGGCGGAGAGGGGCGGAGCTGCCGCCGGAATACCTGATTTTATGGCCGGAATGAAAAATTGAATCCCCATATGTCCCACTCCTCCGAAAGCCCTTGCTGGAAGAAAAGCGGGGATAGATATAAGCTATACGGTGGTGAACGCGCCGGCTGTCCATCGTCGCAGAAAAATAAATGAAACAATACGAAATTCAATGGCACGCGAATCATTTCGATCTATTTATTGCCACCGTTCTTCTGAAAAAAAAACTTGCACACGCAAGCGCAGTTTTGTGCGGTTCTGTGGGCTCAAATAAAGCAGCGCCATCAAATTAAATGGTAATTTTTCTCCCTCAGCAAACACTGCCATGTCAATGGAAATGCATAAAGCGCAGAGTGTGTGTCGATGCTGCGCGCGCCCGCCCTGGCCGGGGCCCTGGCCTGCTCAATTTGACTTTGTAATTGGTCCGCAATCAGTTGACACAAAGTGCCATCCGTACATGTTTGCAGATATAGCTGTCCATTGGCGGTCCCTCTCGCTCCACGCTCGTATGGCTCCCCCCCCTTCCCCTTCCACTCGCATGGCGCCGCTGCTGCCACGCGACGCCACTTCGCAAGATGCAATACGCCCTGTGCGACATGTTATGAGCCCGCGTATGACGTTCCTAACGGACTCGTACTTATTGAATAAATAGGTATTGCAGCAGTGATAACAAAAAATAAAACGTAAGTGGAAAACTGATGATTTTATTTTTTATTTATTTTTGAGAGGGCCTGGCTGGGCGCTGCTCTGTTGTCCAGCGGGTCCCATCCAGTCCGACCGCTTTATGACCGGATTATGCATATAGACTGAGTATGCAACGTCAGGAGTAGAATCAAGTCGAACACGCGACAGATAACTGTCGGCCTCTCCATAAAATGTGTAGCGAACCACAAGTGGGTTCGGGAAATGTAACAGCACCACAACACAACGCCCAACCCCAAGGTCGCACGGGAAGAATTTTATTGCATTTTATTTTTTAAAATAAATAAATTTAATCTCCCCCCCCCCTCAAAACTCTCTACCAAACTGATCGGATTGTGCCGTAAAGTCGACCGTGAAAATGCGGTCCGCGCGTGGAACACACTTTCGCCACTTTAGAGGCTCGTCGGTTGAGAGAGGGGGAGCAGAGGGGGAACAGCACTAAGGCCTCCATTACCGGGATCAAGACACATTAGGGATTGGTCAGCCCCTATACAGGTTGGCAAAAAGCCCGGCAGGGAGGCGACGGCCGGTGTGGCCGCTCCCCGCGCCCTGCGGGCCACGGCCACCCCTATGGGGGCCCTCCATGTACCATTAGCAGAGAGCGCTTTAAAAGCCCGACAAGCAGCGCACTGCTGCCAACGGCAACTTGCGAAAGAGCAGACTTATCAAAGCGACGGATTTTGTCGGATGTTGTCTTATTGGATAAGCGACAGTAACGACTGTTACATTTCTACATTAATGTTAAGATTCTACGCGACAAAGCAGTTTCTGGGACCTGTAGCCTAAGAACACATTCCGAGATTGTTAAAATTTCAACGAAAGGGTTGTCCCGGAATGTTTCAAATAGCAAACGAACTTCAGTTTGCTCTTTCCTTCCCCGCCTTTCTTATTGATTCATAGACTAGGTCTCCTCCCTTGTAGCACATATCGTTCTTAGAACGTTTACAGAACCTTCAGAGAACCAAAAGAACTTTCTCAGAACGTTGTCTGAATGTGTGGTGCTACAAGGGCTGGTACCTTACATGAACACGTGCCTGGTGAAAGTGGGTCCGAGGCTCCCTATTTCGACCGTGTTCAGGTAAGTTACCAGGAAACCTAGTCAACTAGACGGTTTTCAGCATGGTTTCTTCTGCAAGTGAAATTTTGAGCATTGCCGCGACAGCGCGTCGCGCGTAGCTCTACTCCAGGCCACACAGCCATAAGCGAGTCCTTCCGTCGTGGTAAAGTATGAGGGTTTTGCCTTCTCCAGCACCTGCGACGAAGACTGGCCTGCGCTGGCCGCGGGCGGGCAGCTGGAGCCGGAGTGTGGGTGTTGTAAATGGAATCATTAGCAGTGGCCCCGGGGCCGGCCCGCGGCGGCCCGGGGCGCAGCGCACAGCGCCGTGTGTTACGGGGAACATCCTATTGGAATGTAAATGCGGGGAGAGGAGGGAGAGAGAGGAAGGGCGAGATAGAGCGAGAGAGAGAGCTAGAGCAACAGACTTGGAGTAACAAGCAAGCTCATCTGCTGTAGAAATGACGGTCCAACATGCCAGTATTTCAGGCCGAGGGGCGCGCGGAGCAGGGTGGATAGGAGTAAGTACAACAGGCCTCGCGAATATTCTTCACGAGGCAAGAGAGGAGGAGCCGGGTTAGTTAGAAATTAGCCGCAAGAGGTGCAGCGCGTGTCAGCCTGCTTCCCGCTTACTAATCTACCCAGCTGCAAAACAACAACAAAGTCTCGAAAAATTTAGTTCTTTTGTTCTACTCATTGTTCTACGTAAAGGATTACATTTTTTGTTCTTACAGCATGGGAAGTAGAGAGGTGGGCGATGAGCTCACGGCACGAAGATGATGCGAACGTCGTGTCGTACATCCGTGAAGGAAATGAAAACCATTTTTATTATTCTCCTGTGCGAGCTGCATCATCAGCCAGGCCAGGCAGTCACCTCAACTCCTTCATGGTCTGTTCTCTACCAATCCTTTGTCGGCGACCCTCCCCTCCCACCTACTCCCCGTGCTATCCGTATCGTTCCTATCACATTTTTTACTCAGTCACTGGTCGCATACACGCCCCCACCCAACCTCATCCAACCAAAAGAGGAATTCCTCCTTTCTTCACAATATGTCAACGCCGTTGCAGTGCACGTCAACCGAAATCGCACCACACAACTGCCACCGAGACCGAAAAGAAAAAAAAACAGTTTCTGTCAAAACCTAATGTGTTGCCCACAGCTTTGTAGCAGAGTCATTTTGAAACTCAAGCCATCAGTACAGTCCTGGCTCAAAATGTACACTGAGTAGTAGGGTTGTAAACGTAACAATTAGCAACTAGGTTGAAAAATATTGATTTTTTGGGGGGCAAGTAAAAGATCAAAAAAACAATAAATTTGACTGTCAACGAGATGTTTTTAATGTATTACACATCCTATGACAAACACTTTTTCCGTCATTGCGGTTAGTTTTTCTTCACTAATAAAATGGGGGATGTAAAACGTAACATGATATCGGGGCAATTTTGTTAAAATAAAATGGCCAGGGTATTGCCGTTAAGTGAATGGCAAATATTTTTACAACGTGGTCCGCCACCACCACCGCTTTGCTGAACCAAACGTTCTCAATAACACCCGCCATCCCCGCCCCGGCGCAGACGGTACTTTTATTAAATCGTCCGGCCGGGAGGTGATGTTTGGCTACAAATCAAACGGCGCGATCGCTGCGGCGGCCACGCCTCCTCCTCCTCCTCATCCTCCTCCTCTTTGCGCCGGAGCGTCCGTGTTATTACCGCAATTTGGAGCGCGGTACGCAAGGGGCGAGCGCGGCGGCGGGGAAGACCACGTGGCCGCTGGTCAGAAGAAAGCACCCTCCGCACTAACTACAATACTCTTCTGGTGCCGCCCCGGCGCCTGAATGAGTTGTTTGTTACACATAGGACGTCAGCTCTTCAACCTTGCTTAATTCTACGGTGCGTGGTTTGAGACAGATGTTGCACTTTACAAAGTGCGACAAATACATTTTTTTTACTTTGCCTAGTGTAGAAAATGCTGCCATGTGTTCAAAAGGACGGATCTCCTCACATTCATTAATTTTTATCAGGATTGCACACACATTACACCCCAAAAATTGAATTCACATCATCCTTTAAATTGTAGATTTAAGTTTCGTAAAAGCACGACGACAAAAGATATAAAATTTACTCATAAAGGTGAACATAAAAAGTAAAATTTATATGAAGGTCTAAAATCCAAAAGTATAATTATAACGGAAGTTACTTAAAACTAGGGATGTATAGGGAATAGACTATTACGGAATTGACGTTTAGTTTTTGGAAAATGTTTTTGATATTTTGAGCCCTGTTGGGTCCACCACTCACCTCGCTCCAAAATGTAGCCGAACACGCTCTGCTCGCGCTCGTTGGTCGAGCAGTTCCAGCGCTCGTGCCTGAACTGGAACTGGCACTCCTGGATGCCTCGGCGCGCGCCCTCAGCGATGGGTCGGATGGCCGAGGGGTGCTCCATGCACACGTTGGTCTGCGCGCCGATAAGGCCCGGCAGCGAGCCGCACACGGCGCGCGCCTCGGCCAGCTCCGGGTCCTCCATCACCAGGCCGTCGGCGCCCTCGCCCTCGCCCGAGCCCTGGGGGGCGGCCTGCTGCAGCGGCGGCGGCACCCCGACCAGGCCCAGGTACCTGCACAGCAACAGGCACAAGCACATGAGTTACACTGTTATAAGTAATTTTAAAAAAATCAGGCCATATTTTATGTGACGAGCGACAAGCTTATGTGAATTTTGACATCGTCTTTTTAGGCTTTGAAAATTTATAGCCTGATATAAATTTAAAAATTGAACCTGAAAATTCATAGGCTTATGGTTCTAGAAATTCAAGTTTTCAAGGACCGTCCAACCAAATTTCACGACTCTCCAAGACCATATTGTTTTTCCAGGATGACTTTCCAGGTTTTCCAGACTTGTGGGAACCATGATGCAGAGAGACCTGGTGATGCAGACCACCCTCAGCACAGTCGCCCACGCCCAACCCCGCGCCCCGTAGGCTGGCCGAGCACGTCCGATAAGCCGGGCCCAAGGCAGCTGAAGCAAACTCAATCGAGAGCGGCACAAACGGCGCATAATAATAAGTAGTAAGCTTGTTTGCTATTAGAGCGCTGCCGCAGCCGAGTGTCACGCACAAGGCTGCTGCCCCGCAGCACAGCCCTCCTACGGACAGCGCACAGCAATGAGAGCGGGGGCCCGCCCCCGCGACCCCAAAGGGCTGCCAGGGAGGTCTCTGCTCCGCGCAATAATATTATTATGATAATCCCGAGGCGTTTAGCACGCCAAGAGATTTTTCTCGCGTCGGTGTTGGTGGTCATGATGCTGATGCTCAGGGCCGCGAGCACTAATAAGGCGTTCAGATCCCCTACGCCCCATTCAGGATATGAATTTTAATTCCCTTTTTTCGCCCGTGATTCAACCGCCACCTCGCGCCCCTCAAAAGGGCCCCTTCAGCCACGCGCGCGCGCGCACCTTTCGCTCAGTTTCTTTTTCCCTGGCTCACCCCGGTGCCGCGCCGCGACCCCCGCGAACTGAACTGCCTATTCAATTAATTTCCTGATTCATAATTCATACGGCGACTCCGCGATGTTGAAAATACATTAAAAACGGCCGCCGCCCGTGTTCCTCTCCGCCACGACGTCCTCCTGCGGCCGCCGCCACCGCCACGACAATTTTTCATACCGCCCCTCCGCTGCTTCTCGTGCGCGACGCGACGGGTCTGGAGCGGAGCGGGCCCATCCTGTACAGGAGGCTATTTATTTCATTCCGTTATTTTGTCATCCCCCGCCCCGCAGCACACGGCGCAATAGGGCCGAAGGAGCCACCCCCACGACCGCCCTCCCTGTCTGCCTCCGAGCTGCAGCCCGCCGAGCAGATAGGCAACAACTGCACACCTGTGTCTGGCGGGCCTGCTGCTGCTGGCTGCTGGCCGGGCCCCGCCTGGCCTGGCCGAGATATTTGGTTCGGAAAGGAAGGAGCAAGGAAGGCGAAATACGCAAGCCTCATACCCTCGATTCGTGATGGTCTCTCTCTCTCCCCCCCCTCTCTCTCTCTCTGACTGCCAGTGTCTGTGTGTGTGTCCGAGAGCGAGAAAGAGAGAGAGAGAGAGGCGATGGGAAGCTGACAAGATACGGGATAAATTGCCCTTAAAAGGGTTAAATTAGGGTCAGGGAGGAAGTTGTGCATGAGAGAGGAAGAGAGACGGGTAGAGAGAAACGGTGAGAGAGAGAGAGAGAGAGAGCAGGTTGTCTGAACGAAGGGGAAAGGGACAGACTAATGCACTCGGTTAGAACTATTTCCCTCGGCAATTTTCTGATAAAAAGTTGCAGCGTTTTCACCACCGCTGTCCATTACCGCCTAATTTTATGGTTTCCCGTGTTCATAGCTGAACCTGCCGTCGTTGGAACCACATCACTCTGGTTGAAGTTTAAGTCAGCACCGAGGAGTTTCTCATTTTCTCTTTCTGCTTCCCTTACTTCACCCCCCCCCCCTATCTCTCTCCCGACTTTTACCAGCGTTTCGCGAGTTATTTGTTTGTCCCCCATCCGCTTGAATAGCTACCGAATTGGGCGCAAAAGCGATATTTACGGTGAGAAAAGGGAAAAAAGACAAAAGTTCCCTCGAGCATCCAGTATTTAATAAATAGGCCATACCTCGGGCGCACCTAAACATGTCATGGGCAGGCTGGGTGCTGGGCCGGCGGTGCACCGGACTGGACTAGAAAGATAAGAGGGAAAAGAATGAGGGATAGAGAGAGGGAGACTCTCTCCCTTTCTTTCTATCCACAGACCTGCCTCAGATTAGGCCAAGTCGGAGGCTCGGCTCGGTTCGATGTGTCTCCCACCCTCGGTGGTCCAGCTTCGGGCGCCGAACCCTCTCGCCGCTCACACACATTACCCCCTTCATTTCCCACCCCTATGTCCCATATCCACCGATTGGTGATATCTTGGTATTGACAGCCGATATTTGACTCGTCGTGATTTGCGCGACGGTAAAAACTATCTCCCTCTCCCTCTGCCCGGCATGCTGCACCGCTCCCTCCGCCATTGCGCGCTCTCTCCCTGTTGGCGACATCATCTGCCGCCCCGCCGATATTGGGTTATACTTTATATACTGTACGAATAAGGCAGGAGATTCTCTACCCCTGCAGGATATTGAAGTCTTTTTCCTCCCCTCCCCTGCTTGTTGTCATCCGCTCAACGACCGCCCCCTCCCCCCTCTCCTTTTCCCTCACAGCCTTTGACTTTGACTTAGAATATGCTCAAAAGTGACGATACCAATCTGTTTATAAATCGTTATATGACAACACAGGTGGAGCAGAAGAACTGATCACCTTTTCCGTACGAAAAGTAGAATATGCACATGTGTATAAAATAATAAAATATGACGTTCAGAGTAAAATGGGGTCTCCCCGATTTGTTCCTGACCTTATTTGCTACGACGCCTATTGTTCTTTGCTTTTGTTTGGCAAGCTAGGAGAGAGAGCCTTGGCTTTTACTGATTGCATACCAGTTGGCATACGGTGTGTTGACTCGGACTCGTTGCTCGGCGCAGCGTAGCGTGGCACGGCGTGGCGCGGGCAAAGCACCTCCGGGCGCGAGACGCGCAACATCCAAACGTATCACGTTTCGTCAAAACAACAAAATGACGATGACAAAAAAAAAACAACGTCGTTTTTGTGTTGTTTGTTGTCAACGGCTATGGGGCTTAACTGCGCGGGGTCCCCGTGAGGTATGGCGTCGACACCCATTCATCGCGTACCCTATCCGGGCCCATCGCTACCCTGGTCCATCTCCTCTCTCTCTCTCTCTCTCTCTCTCTCTCCCTCTCCCTCCCCCTCCCTCTCTCTCTCCCTCCCTACTGCGACATTTTTCACGGCGATGCGGAGGGCGAGGCCGAGGCAGCGGGCCGATTGCCGGAGAGTATTATATTACCATATGCAGGTGTGTGGGGGCGAGCCCGACGGGCCCGGTCACTCAGTCGATGCCTTTTGATAAGCAAGCGCTCGCTCACTCGCGCCCCCCGCGCCACACGCGATCGCCTTCCTACACACTAGACCAGACCTCCCACCGGAAATAATGACGACAAAAAATATCACCAGCCTCTGCGACTGATGGGTTAAAATCCCCCCTCCCCCTTCCCTCCACCGCTCCCCGGTCCAAAAATATCTCGACGTGCAAGAGAATAAAACCGAGGGGGCAATAACTCCCTTTTGAAGTGTACACATGATTCCCGAAATACTTGATTCCCAGTGATTCCCGGTGATTCCCGCCCGCTTATATTTTTTCTCTGGTTTTCTAGTGGTAGAAAACGCTTATTTCGACTACTTTGTACCAGTTCTGCTAGTTTCCTGCTCAGTTTAAACGATTTCTGTTGATTTCGATCAATTTTTATCGTGATGATTCCCAGGCAGGTGTACACATGATTCCTGGAGTTCTTGCCCCCTCGAATAAAACAAAAGTGATGAAGATGCTAATAACTATAGGAGTCAGGAGCCATTTGGAAGCAAGAGAAATTTCGTGATGTCAACAACATTGGGTCCGCTTCGCGGGCCAAGCCCTTTCCTGCTGGACCCCTGCTGCGGCGGCGTTCGCCTGTCTTCCCGTCCGTCCGTCCGTCTGTCTGTCACTCCTTATGAATGGGAGGCAGACAGTGAAGGGCGTAACTGGGGCGTCTCTGGGCGTCGTCGCAGAGCCGTGAGCTGCGGCCGAATAGGAAAATGAGGGCGTTTGAATCTCACACGAATTAATTTTATTAGAGCACAAAAAAGTCGTCATCGGTAATTTTGAGAACAATGGGCCAGCCGTTCAGTAGAAACGTTAGAAAAGAACACTACTCCAGGACGCCCACACGAGACAAAGTCGCAAATTGTCCTGGATTACCCAGCTAAAAAAATTGGGGATTTGAACGGTACATTTTCAGGACGGAGTGATGACAGAGTAGAAGATCCTTCTTTACTCCCACGCCTCGCCATTCATCCGGGCGCTTTATAGGCCGACATGAAGATGATGAGGTTGGCCGCCGCCAGGTGGGGCCATGGGCGGGGCGGGGCGGGGGGGGGGCCGGTCAGC